TATCTATACGGTTAACTCCCTAGTAATAAGTTATTCCTTTTATACCTTCTTAAAGAACTAAAATTATAAGAGGGTATTATAGATATTAAAGGAAGTATTAGAGTTAAGGGTAGCTAATTTTTATAGGGAATAATTAAAGGGCTCTAAAGGTTAGTCTTAGCCTTATTAATTTATAAGGAAGATAAAGGCCGGATTTACTATACTAACGATTTTTCCTTAAATTTATAGCTCGAATAAAGGTAGTAGCGTTAGTTACTATTTCTTAGTAACCTAAATCTTATATATCTTCTTCTATAACGAGGGATCCTCCTTAAAAGACTTTTTAACGATCTTTTCTAGCCTTATAAGAGGCGTGATTTTAAAAGGGCGTAGTTCCTTAAAAACCTATTAATAGTCTTTTAGTCTATAGAGCCTTTTATAGGCTAGGTAGGTTAGTCGATTTCCGTTATTTCTCTATCTTTTAAAGGAGTCCTTATCCTTATCTAGAAGGTCTACTTAAAAACCCCTCCTTTTTACTCCTTATTACTAATTTTAACGAGGTTCTAATTTAATTAGTTCCCTGATTTTTCGACTAACGGACTAAAAGGTCTATTAAGGGACTAGTTAGGCCGGATAGACTAACGGGGCCAGGCCCGGAGCTATAGGCGGAGCCGTAGCCGGGATAAGGGTAGCCGTTATAGACGGGGTTAAGGCTCTTAAGAGAGGAGGAGCTAGAGGGGAAGCAGTAGCAGCGGGGGCCGTAGTAGTAGGGGCTATAGCAGCTATAAGGGTAGTAGGTCGAGCCGTCTAAGTTAAATACTAGCTATAAAGGAATAAGACTACTTACTATTATACTTTAGTAGCCTCTTTATTTAGTTCTTAGCTAACTTCTTAAAAGATAGTTAAGTAATCGTTACTAATAGGCTTTATTAGTAGAGATATATCCTATAACTACTAGCTAGAAAGAGCTTCTATTAAGAAGTATTAGTTAGCTTCCTTAAGGATTTCTTCTTACTTAGCTAGCTATAAAGAAACTAAAAGGTTCTTAGTAAAAAAGGCTCCTAGGTAAGCTATATAGGTCTTCTTAATATAGTTAGTTATATAGCCTATTAAGGGAGCTATCGAGGTCTTAAGCTTTAAGAGCTACTACCTAAGGGTCTCTTCCTCTTAAAGAGAGATTAGCTTTATAGTACTAATAAATTCTATTATCGCTATATATATAGTAGTTAGTAGCTTTATCTTATAAAGGTATTCCTTATAAGTCAGCTCACCTACTTAGGGGCACACCTACTTAAGGGCACGTCTTATATAACTAAGACAGTATATTCTAATAGCAATTAAAGCCGCGTTTTTACATCGCGATACTTAATTATAGTGTTTTCCTACTATTCTAGCTGCCAGCTTCTACATAGAGCTTTAAAATCCGCCTTCTAATTAGCTATTGCGACGGCAGACGGCTTAAGGGCGCGTTAAAGCTATTTCCTCGTCTTAATAACTTATTTAATCCGTATAAACCGGCCATTTAGATCTTAGGCGATTTTTCGTTGCTTTTAAGGCCGTAGACGATATAATTAATGCTTAAGCTATTATATGCGTAGCTATGCCGTTGCAAGCTACGTATTCTAACGATTAAGGCTACGGCTAACTTTACTAAAAAGCACATAGATCGTACGGTTAACTTAACCGCGATTTTCGAGCCCCCTAATAAGCCTACGGACTTCCTACGATCGTCTCGGTGTTTTAAGGGCATCGCTATTATCTATTAAGCTTAAATTCTTCTTCCTCTTTAGTAGTAACGGCGTTAACGGCGCGGGCAAGACGAAGCAGCTTATTAATAGCTTTGCTATATTAACTGGCTAAAGTCCTATCCCTCGCCACCCCCCTTTAATATTTTTCTTAGTTAGGCCGGCCTGCCGGGCCTAATAATAGCAGCGAAGGAAAAGTGCCTTGCTAATTAGTGCTGTATCGTCGAGAGAAGCGATTTTTTAGAGTTAACGTCGGTAGGTAGCTTTAATCGGCGAAAAAATCGAGATATCGAGAGGTTAAAGGACGTGCGAGGCGTATAAAGGTAGGAAAAGGAGATATATACCGTGTAGGAAGCATTCGTATATAAAATCGTTAGTCTAATAGCTTCCGTGGCTATCTATAATTAAGAGGACGTTGCCTTATAGCTAGCTTCTTATTTATGGGATAAAGACCTACTTAAGCCATTGAATCGCGATAGAGTCGCTCGTCTAGCCCTTTAGAGAGGCCATAAAGTCCTAATCCTTTAGAAAGTCGAGTTCTTTAGGGAACCATTAGTGTTAAAGGTCCTAACCTTTAAAGATTATAAGAGGAGTTAAGGCCCGGCTAGTAGCAGAGACGCATTCTACTATTATAGTCTAACAACGCGACCTAAGCCGCTTCTTAAGCGTCTCCTTCTTCTCTAAGCTCCCTAGCACGAGGCCGTTGTAGCCGAGGCCTTCGAGGATACCTATCTCGTCTATATTAAAGCGTGATTCCGGGGGAATGGCCTATAAAGCCGGGAGCTTAAGTAACTAGAACTACTCCTTGATCCGGGCCATAGAAGCGCCGTTAATACGAGCAGAATCGAGAGCTTTACCTTTAATCGTGCTAACCTCTAGATTTCGGGCTAAAAAGCCTGCTACCTAGTGTTTTCTAAGTAGGCGGGTGTCGCCTGCAGCCGTGATAATACGGCCGGCGAATTCCCTTAGCTGGAGATGCGTTAGGGGGAGCCTAAGGGCGGCTTAGGTAAGAACCTAATCCCGGAGGTGTTTCTCTTGCTCTCGGCTAAGCCTCTAATAGAATTCGTATGCCTCTCTCTTTAGTTAGGCACCTTTAAGGCGTTTCTAAAGTATCGTCCTTAGAATACCCTACTTCCGACTAGCCTACACCTAACCTATGCCGAATTTAATATTAGCTAGAGCGTTCTAAAGCTGATCTTCGGTATATTTAGAAAGCTAAGATATTGCTAATTCGAATAATGTTTTTTTAATAATAATTAAGTATAAGATGCACGAGAATTCGCGGTTATAATATACGAGTTAGTCGGCGCGTTAGTGTTATAGAGACGTGCCCTTAAGTAGGTGTGCCCCTAAGTAGGTGAGCTGACTTAGTAACTCTTATAGTTACCTTAGGTAGTAGAAAAAGCTCTTTACTATATAGAGGTTAGCTTAGAAAAGAGGGAGGCTCCCTTTATAAATTATATTGCCCTAGGATATAGAGGGGGCTTAAGAGGGTCCTACTTATTAAAGAAGACTAAGTTATAGATAGTTCTATCTATATAAGCTTATAGCTCCTTTACCTACTTATCTTAATCTTAAAGCTCTATAAGAATTATCTTATAGATTCTAAGGGCGGTAAAGGAATCGTTTTTTAATATTATTATAAAAGAGGGGGTAAAAAAGTTAGTTAAAAATTAGCTTTTTTAATAAGAAAGGTAAAAGGAATCTATAAGGGATATAAGAGAGGTGCCTTTTATAGTAGCTAGAAGGTATAAGAATTCTATTCCTCCTAGGCTTATAACTCTTATAAAGAAAGATATAAAAAGTATATATAAAATATATAAAGATAAAATTAAAAGTAAGGGGTTAGATAGGTAGGGCAATAATATTTAATTCTTATAAGGGTAGTAATTATAGTAAGTAATTATTATATTTTCTTAATTATCCTTCTTTTTTTATATCTAACACCCCTCTTTATACCCGTTTAGTATCTCGATTAATAAAGAAGATCTTATTTAAAGAAGCTACTAATATCCTTTTAACTACCGAGCTTTTTACTAGTTTTCCCCCTCCTTTCTAGCTATTACTAGTATATCTATCTTATCTCTCGCTACCTCTATAAGAAGCTATCGCTACTTCTACTTCCCCTTATACCCCTACCCTCCTCTCTATACCTCTTTTTAGCTCCTTCTTCTAAACCGGTTTTTAGCTTCCTAGGTCCCTCTTATTAAGGGATATCTCTAAGAACTACGAAATTAGGCTACGCTTCGCGATAGCTATACTAGCTAGAAGGCTAGTAAAGAGATAGAGAGCTATAACTATAGCTTTAAAGAAAGAGAAAGAGAGGGAGAAGAGGCTAAGGCGGCTATTTAAGTTTAAGAGAGCTAGGGCCGCCCTAAAGTAGAAATAACTTAAGATATACTCCCTTAAGGAAATCCGCTAGTAAGCTTAAGCGATAGTAACTAGCGCCTTTAGCCTAGCTAAGGAGGAGGACTTTTAAGAGGACTATTAGCGCGCTTAACCTAATCCTTAACTAGCTTATATTTATTATTAAAAAGGTAAGTATTAATAGTCTAAGTTAAAGTTTATAGATAAAGTAAAACGCTATACTATTTAGTAAGATAATCTATATTACTAGCTATTAAGTATTAAGTTAAATATAAACTTAAAGAGGAAGAAAGGTAAGTAGTTAGTTTTTACTTTAGTAAGATAAGCTATAGTTTCTAGCTACTAAAATTAAGTAGCTTTTTTAGATACCTTTAATAGGTCCCTTAGTATAAATAAAATAATATATAACCTATTAATTAGCATATTTTAATACTATTAAAATTAATATACTATAGTTTAATTAAAGTAGTCGGTATAGCTAGGGATAGTAGGGTACCTTAGAGCTATTATAGAGGGGTAGAGATATATAGTATACGCCTTTCTACTAGCGCTTTATAAAATATCCTTTAAAAAGGGCAGCCTATCCTTTAAAGGTAAAAGCACTTCCTCTAAAAATAAAAGTATATTTACGGTAAACCTATACTTTTATAGTAAAGATAGGTAACTTATTATCATAAGAATAGCAGCCGTGATTACTCTATAGAACGCTTCACCTACTTCGATTATATATAATGCGTAATATGCCTCTAGTAAAGCCGGAATAGTTAATTCTTTAAGTGGCTGGCAGCTAGGTCTCCTCACTCTTCCCCGCCCCTACTTCGTACTCTGTCCAGGCACGGAAGTTGCCTACAGGGCAGTATCAGCCCCCAGGGCTATCCTTCTGATCCTCGCCAGTCCGAAACACTCAACATGACGGGCCTCGAGGCACTAGGATTGGCCTGCAACATCATGCAGGTCCTAAGTTTTGTGCGTGAAACTGTCATTACTTGCAAGGTCGAGCATCCGACGAACCTCTCGCGGAAAATGCCCGGTCGCTCACTTTCTTCGCCGGAGAGGTGAAGAAAAAAAATTGAGTGATAAAACCGCGGACGGCCGAGGTCGGAAGCCTTTCCGATATCGCGACCAAGTGCAATATTGCAGCACGGGCACTGGAAGAAGAGGTTCAGTTTCTTGGAAGCCACCATGCCAAAGGGAATCCCGTCACAACACTTCAGATATCTGTCAAAGCCGATTGGCGCAAGAGCCGCCTTGACAGGCTTGAAAAGTCACTCACTAGCTATCAAAGAACGTTAGATTCACACCTCCATGCGCGTGTCTGGTAAGTTATGCCATAGTGTACCGACTACAGCTAACGAAGAGCACAGGGTGAAGCATTGGAAGCTTTCCAGAGCCAAAGACGCCGACTAAGGGTAGCCTTGTGTCTGCCTGGCTCGTGACTCCTCGTCGAGGCTCCAAACAAGAGCCGCGAGCGAAACCTTGTGTCGCAGCTTCTGCCAGGAGCAAGTGAGGCGCTGCTCCTTCCACCCCATCGCTCCACCCCATGATTGCCTGGAGCATGCTGCGCCTTTTCCCTTTTATTATCATAGTCGTCGACGGCAGGCCTTGGTACTCGCATCCTCCACCAAGTGCAATCCAGCCGTCTCTAATTGCTTCCTCAACCACTGACGTTCCGCTACACGCCGCGGTAACGCAACACACAGAACATGACGGACGACTCTACCCTCTATTGGGTTTTGCTGCTTCTTTTATTTTTCTACGTTGGAACCGAAAACTTTGTCCGATTTTGCCGCCGTGTCCGCTTGGTCTACCGCCTCGCTGCGAGCTTCTACCGCCACGGACGCATCGTCATCCCACCCGCCCTCGACCGCCGAGACGATGGTGCAGCGGGCGCAGCGGAACCCGGCTTGACTCTCGTCATCGGCGCGCTGGTAACGGATATCCATGACATCAAAAGGGAGCTATTGCAGCTCCGGCAAGCTCTGGGGCTGCCGGCCGATGGGGCTGACGGCTGGCGAGGGACGGGACCCCGACATGACGAAAGGCTAGGCCTGTCGACGGATCTACAAAGCGACACGTTTGCCCAAGCAGTGCCAAGCAAGTGGAACGTGAACACGAGCTGAGTTGCGTAGCGCCTCTGGGACCACCAAGAGCAACGCACGAGCCTCTGTTGTATTGGCTCTCGCCTTTGGCTTCGATTCAGCACCAAGCCCGGCGCGGATCGTCAGCCTCGGCCTTGCACATTTCCATGCTTCAAGCACCTTGGCGGCAAAGAGGGCTGCTATCCACACGCATCATGACGGGGCATTACATATCATTGAGCACTCCGATATATCTCGTGGAGCTGCTGCAGTGCTATCGACCACTCATCGGTGGACAAGGACGGGGAAAGTCACGGTTCTGCGTGTCCATACATAGCCAACATGTCCACAGAAGGCTCGGGCGGCTGTCGAGTTTCAAGTAGTGTCATAGCCAGAGAAGAGCAGATGATCCTGAGCCTCTAGGAACCCTTGGACCCTGTGACAGTGAGTAGCCCGGACGATCCATGGCAAATACCAAAGTGTAAGAGCAAAGGGTCGAGTTTGGCAATACCCTCGTAACCATATCGCTCTATAGCCTTATTACCTCCTGCCTTTCGTCCGCCCTGTTCGTATATCTTCAGAGTATCTCTTGGCTGACTTGCTAGACTACGTGCCTGAGACTATTGGACCAATGCGGCTGCGTGTTGTCAGCAGATGAAGCCCGGGTGGGCTCGAGACATCGCAGCACTCTGCCAGACAGAGCAGGTCACCTGATCCAGACACGGACGGTAGAGCACGTCATGAGATTTAATATTGTTGCCTGATCTCTGCTTACAGGGCCACTTGCTTGTACAGTCTGCTCATGGTTGGGGTATGAATGCTTGGGGCCGGGAACAAAAAGGACCCGGCCACAAACAGCAGTCTGGGGTCAGGAAACGACGATGCTTCCAATCTTTTCCACGCCAAGGGCGCCCCTGCTTACCGTCTCTCTCAAAGCTCCGTGCGCGCAGAAAATAACACGGATGGCCTTCATGTGAAGTGTGAAGAAGCCAAATGTCAAAATAGCCGTCGACTCTGACAAGCCGCCTGCGTCAGTCGCTATCCGAGGCTGAAAATTCGTCGGCCACCGCTGCCGAGTATTCATCGTCGGCGCTGACGTAGAGTTCCTTCAGCTTAGGAAAGGACTTCTTCATGAGGTCGATGAGGTCCTGGGGAGGTGTTTGTCTGCTAAAGTGTAAGCGTCGCGCCCCGTGGCAGTGTTTGGTTTCTGAGACTCACTCGGCACTCTGCTCGCCGTTCGGGGTCGATGGGCGAAAGCCACCCACCTCCAAAAAACGCAGCTTGGGAAACAGGGGGCTGTTGCGGCGAGCCTCGCTCTCCAGCATTCGGATGTCAAAGACTGGAAGCATGTTGCACTCCTCGAGCAGCGGGCAGTGCTTGGCGAGAGACAGCAGGGCGGCGGCAGACAGTGTGCACTGCACCAAGAAGCTGAGGCGGCGTAGAGAGGGGAGGTGAGAAACGATATCATCAAAGTGCTTGTCGGAGAAGGCGGCCTCGAGAGCGGTGACGGTTGGGTCGGTTTCCCTTTCATTCGGTTCTATCGTAAGCTCCTGGAGCCTGGAGAGCTTCTTCAGAGACAAGAGCTCCTCAAGGGAAAGTCGGGTGTCGGCGGCGAAGGTCAAGGCAAAGTGACGCAGGGCAGACAGGGAGGAAAGCGACTGCATGACGTTGACGCCGGCGTCTCGAACGTCCAAGCCAAGATAAGTGACGCGTGGAAAGAGTTTGGCGGCCGAGGGGACGGCTGCAGAGGTGAGAGCAATGTGGATGGCGCGGAGGTCTCTGAAAGGATGGGCGATGCGCGACGAAACCAGCTCGAGGAGCTGCTCGGAGCACGTCTTTCCAATCTCGAGCTGCAGGAGATCTGATCGTTGGGCAAGGTGCAGTATGAGGTCGTCGGTAACGAGATGGTCCATGCCGTAGAGGAACTTGATGTGCTGGAGCGACTTGTAGCGCGAGATAAAGTCGAGGAAGAAGGAGGCCTCGACATGGGGGCCCGGCGAGTCGATCAAGAGGGTGCGCAGGCGCCAGGCCTGGCTGCGCAGCTGGTCGAGCAGATCATGGTCGAGATGGCCGCCATAGAAGGAAAAGGACTCGAGGGGCGGCTGAAAGTACTGGCGGATGGGGTACGAAGCATAGTCTGCCGGACGATAGGCGTCGAGGGAAATGTGCCTGAGGCTGCTGAACTCGAGGTTCCGGAAGCGCTCATGGTAGAGGGCCTCTTCGCCGCCCGAGAAGGTGAGCGAGGTGATCTTTGCGGCGTAGATGTGGCGCCGGTCGTCGGGCACATTTGCCAGGGCCTCGCAGCTGGCATGTCGCCAGAGCACGTTGGTGCCGCACGAGAACCATTGCTTGTTGACGCGGGCGGCCTGTGCGAGGTGCCGCATGTCGCCCGAGAGGCAGTCGAGGATGCTGGTGAGGAGTTCGGGGAGGGCAAGCGCCTTGGCGACGCTTGGCAGCGGCAGCGGCTGCACCATGATGACGACGGGGCGGGGAGTGAAAAAATCAAGCAGCAAATGTGGTATGGCGATGTGGGCGTTGGAGGTTTAGCAGCAAGCAGCCTGAGAGCCTCCCAGGACAAGGTTGGCTTTGGCTTGGCCGGCTTGGATCTCCCGGTTCCTGCCCCGCCCCTCCACCACGTCCCCGCACCTGCGTGTGTGTGTTTTAGTGGACGGGTGAGGCGGGGCAGACAAGAACAGCGCAGGGGACCACCTGAGCTGCCACTACGCCCGCCGCAACCCCGCTGTAGCCCCCTGTCTAATTGTCTATTGAGAGACGCCTAACAGCCTTGAAGCAAGTCCGTATAAGCCACGCCACTGCTCCATCAGATATCAGAAGTGCAGCAGTCTGATAATAATACGAACTCTCTGGATGCTATCTGAGCCTCTACATCGGTTCATGCACACAGCCAAGACAAGCCCTCTGCACTATCGACACGCCATGCAGACGCACGCCTGCAACATAAGCTTACCGAGTTGAAGCCTAGCGAATCATCGATGCAACTCTCCTGTGCTGTATAGTACAGTAGGCTTTGGATAAGCTTCCCGTCCCTGCGACCTGTCAGCTCGGCCAATCGGTACTGTAAGCCTGTTGCCCAAACAAGCCCTCGACTGCGACTTGTCTGCAGGCATCCATGCTTCACGTTGCACCAGACGTCTTCTCTAGCGATGACCCGTCCATCAGCCGATGTCCCATCCACAAACCGTCGTCAACCTCACATCTGCTTCGTTCGCTTACAACATGTTACATGTGCGTGATACCATGCCCTGACTGCCTGGCACTGGACCGTCTGCGCCTCGAGACGCACTACCGAGCTCCATATCACCCACTAGGCTTCATTATTCAACCGTGCAACATGCACGCCCACCAGCCGGCCTCTCACATGCAGCTAGTGCCGTGGAGTCTCGTCAGCCTGCACCTCGTAAGCCCGGAGACGAGCGTGCCGAGGAAGTGCAACTCGTGACCCTGGGGTGAGCGTGTCAAGTATAAGAGACGATGATCCCGACTCTCGGTTGACCGGCTCAGACACTCAACATTGCAATCCTCCCACACAACACGCACCAGTCACTTCTTCTACTCTTGGGCCACCATGAAGCTCGCCAGCACTCTCGCAACCGCCGCCCTGACGCTCGCAACCATCGGCTTTGCCAGCCCCACGCCTGACGAGAGCATCACCCTCAACCAGCGTGACAATGAGCTGTTTGCTCGCAAGTCGTGCAGCGGCAGCCGGACGAGCAGCGACCGGTGCTCCGGCAAGAGGCTGAGGCCCCAGCACTCATGGCACAACTGGTACGTTGCATCCGAAACACTCCCAGCAACCATCTCCCACTCACGCCGGACCTGTAGCAACAACCAGAGTGGAAAATGTTGTGCTATCAACAAGGACGGAAGCGGCGGCATGGACGTCAAGAAGGGCCTCGGCCGAGAGGACTGCGGATACTGCTTCGGCGGCAAGTGCCAGGGTTGAGAGACCCAGGCCATCGACCGGCCTCTCGTTTGCTGCCTTGTGCAACCATGTACGCCTGCATGTAGCCAGATAATCCCGCTTGCCCTCTCAACCGGGACCAGGCGAACTCGAATAATGTCCGGATCGCCAACGTGCAACCCTGTGCTGATGCTATTGGAGTGCGTTTTAAGAGGTAGACAGGCTTCCTTGTACCCGTGGTTGCGGGGCCCATTTACATTTCCTTCTCCTTATCTTTCCATATGCATTTAAATCCCAGTTATACGTCCCAGGAGCCTCTGAGACCGCCATGTTAACCTCGTCCATACTTTTAACCCATATTTAAACTCTCCTGGCCGCGGGTCACTTCAATCTGTATGAATTTCGCTCGTCCCGGCTTGCCTAATTGTTCAAGCTATTACACCATGAAGAAGGCGGCTACACCAGACATGACCGTCATGGCAATGGCTGCCGACATCTGGCGCATGCCTTTCCATGCAGATGACGAAACCCGGGAGCCAGGGGTGGCGCTTCCGGAAGGACTTGCGGTAGAGTCAGCACCTGTCCACGTGGCCGAAGGTGCGGATGCAGTCGAGCTTGCGGCATCGTCTTGCTTGTCGGGGTTCAGCACGCTTTTGGGCGTCAGTGAAAGGACTCAATGTGATTTTTTTTGAGCAGGGTTAAGTGAGGGGCGTTCTATCCATACCTGTCAATGACGTGAAGCACGCCGTTGGAAAGCGGGACGTCAGGCGTGATGACTTTGGCGCCGTTGACATAGACGTTACCATCTTTGACGCTGACATTGATCTCGGTTCCTTCGAAGGTCTTGACCGCGCCGTCCTCAAACGAGCTGCTGTACGCCACGACATTGGGCAGGACGTGGTACTGGAGAACCTTCTTGAGGCTCTCGACGGACATATTCTTTGTGGCAGAGGCGACGGCCTCAAAGGCCTCGTTACTAGGCGCGAAGATGGTCACGTCCTTGGCCCAGGTGAGGGGTGCGACGAGGTCGGCCTTGGTAAGCGCCTCTGCCACGGCAGATAGGCCTGCCGCCGAAGCCGTCTCGGCGAGGTCCTTGGGGATCTCGAGGACACCATCAACAACGTGGACCACGCCGCCGTCGTACTCAATGTCCTGTGTGACTATCAGCGTCTCCGTGCGACAGAATCCACGAGAGCCAGGCAGAGTCCCTTGCCGCCCGAATAACCTGGCAGTGGGCGCCAAACGCGCTGCTAATGCTGACCGCGTTGTTGGCGGTCTTTGCAGCGACAACCTGCCCACCCGTCACGTTTGTCAAGGCCCCGTCGGTGAGCAGTGTCTTTGCAAACGCTGGCGTTTCGGAAAAGTCGTTGGCCAAGAGCGAGCCGTTGAGGATGTGGTACGAGAGCAGATTCGCGACAAAGGCGGGATCCGACATGACGAGCGCGGCAGCCTTTTCGTCCTTGAGGAGCATCGCAAAGGCATCGTTGCTGGGGGCGAGGATGGTGAGGTTGCTCTGCGAGGAGAAGGTCTCACCCAGGGCAGGTAGGTCGTTGATGAGGCCTGCCATTGTCGTCCTTTAGTTGAATTGCACAATAACACGAGTTCTTCTGGCGGAGCCTCATACTTGTCAATGTGGAAAGAGTGCTGTTCTCTTGGGACAGAATCTCGGCTAGAGTTTGGCCGGACGCGCTTTGTGGGAAGACAGAGGCGAACACGGCAGCGCCTGAAAGAGCCGAGTACTTCATGGTGGTTGCGAGCTGACTGTCGTCGACAAAGGCAGAGACATGCGAAGAAGAAGCGATGATTTACAGGATGATTTTGATACATGAAATCGTCGAAGGCGGGCGCCACGACTTTATACATGATCGGCAGAGCATCATGGGCTGCAGAGAAGCATCTGACCGGAGTTGGAGGCGTCGCAACCAAGTGGTGACATCATGGAGACGGTCTTTGCCGGAGTCAAAGGCCAACCGAGACGATGATTCAAAGCATGCTCTTCCAACGAAGGGCAAATGGTTGGCTGCTACGGCCCAAGACGACAGGGAGACTCGAGGCGAGACCTTCCAGTCTCTTTCAACGGGGAGCTTGGGGGAACGGAGTGGCATCCAGGCAGGGCCTTTTGGCTTCACCTCTTCCATCGTAGCGCATGTACGTGTAACGCCGAGAAATAGCTTGCAAGGGGACATCCAGCATATACTGTTGTGTTGCTCTGGTGTAGTAGCCAGCTTCAATGTTGCTTGTCGAGAATCGGGATTGCAGGGTATCCGGTTTTTTTTTTCTTCAAATCCTGACAAGCAGGCGCCCGAGCTAGAGAGCTTGCTTAGATCGCTCCTGGCAGGAAAAGAACCAACGGATAAAGCACTTGACCGTTGTCCACCAACGCACTGGACCCTGGAGTTGCAATCCGGGGTCCCGTTGGGCCAAGCCACCCTCTTCGCACTCTCGGCGATCTGCGAGAGCACTTCATGGCGTCATCGATAAACTTCTGAACCGGGGGCCCGCGCACTCATGCGGCGTCTGCTTCGCCCACTTGCAAGCCTATCAGGGTCCTTTGCTGGGAAGCCGGTCCCGGGCCCCGAGGAACACTTCTCCAGGGTCCGTTTTGTGTAAGCGAGGCATTTAGGCTCGGGCCCTGGGGGATTTCCCCTCGTTAACCCCATCTTTCCAAGCGGTGGCTGTCAACGGAACTTGACGCTCTTGCAAAGGGGGCCTCGGCCGGTGAGTGGGCTTGAGCTCGGCATCTTATGGCCGACTGAAAGTCCACACGGCATTGTCGAGGCCTCGATGATTGAGGTGTCCGCTTCAATATCAAGGAAGGGAAAGGAGGGAAACAGAGCTTGCTTTTCTTTCAGCCATCCCCCGGCCACGCCCTTCTTATGTCCGAGGCGCCGCCAAGACTGAAGCTCGCCGTTTCATGTCGTCGTGGGACTTCGGGCTGATGCTGGGGCCTAGCTCGGCATAAGCCTGCATGCGAGAAACGTGCTCTCCCCGAAACGCATCATTCCTAGCCGGGAAAGGGCGGCCGACTTTGAAAGGCGGCCGGGCTACTTATTCGGCCGAGAATTTGCAACTACGTGTCCGGCTATCCTTCCATGTGGAATGAGTGCCTTGGCGGGAGACACTTGTAAGGGAAGACGAAGGCGGACAAACAAACTTGTGTTTGACCTGAGTCGTTGTCGATGGCTTCGGGACGAGAAGAGTCCATCAATCGCGACGACGGCGTGGCTTAGACCGGCAACGCTGTTCCCGAATGAGCGGAAAACGCGGGAAGCGGGTCGCACGATGGAAATGCCCAGACTCGGGCACGAGGTTGGGCTTTCACGATTTGCCCACTATACCGGGCCGGCTGTTGCTGAGCTCACAGATAAGACAAAGGACGGCTACTGGGTATTACAGGGGCTTGTCATAGTCGACTCCAGCGGACGCCAGCACTACACCAGAGTAGGCAGGTGCCCAACATTGCGCCGTAGAATCTCGGCAGGGCAGAGGAGCGTTTTAACCGGTAGGGGCTTAGCCTCAGGAACTTGAAAAGCTGCTTCTTTCATGTGCCCTGCCCCTGTACACGCTGTGCCGTATAGAGTGAAAAGAAGCTAGTGTTTTAAGAGCTACTTCGCACTATGACTCCAGTTACGGTTGGCCGTTGAAGGCTTGTAGAAGACTTTATGGCATGGTCATTGCAGCTGTTGAATTGAGAGCTGTGTAGACGGCTGCAAGACCACCAGCACCCAATCCGCCCCAGCCACGATCGGTGTCTGTCATACTTGCACATCAAAGACCAGCGCCTCTGGTACTCATTTCATCCCGCCTTTAAAACGTTTGCTGCTGCTTCGTCGGATTTGACTGCAGCCATCCGATCTACAGCCATCCGAGTCTAAATTCCCCGAAAGATTCGTTTGGCCAGTCTGAAGTTCAGATATCGAGCCTGCGTGTAAGGGGCAGTTGACGGATCGATCAGCAGGTGGCATCTCTCTTTGACTCGGCATGCTCTGGTTCTCGCATAGCGCCGTGTCGTCTCTTCAGCCGGCCAACCGGCTCAACGAGCACCACAAAACGACTTATGTCTGCGCCTCGGTTGCTTGGCCTTTCAATCAGACACAGGTAGGTTGCAGAGACCCTAAAGTCAAAGTCGTCCAAGCCGGGCATTGATATGTACAGTAGCTGCTAAAGACGGCGACGAGCTTGTAGTTGCGCAAGCTCAAGGGGATGATAGAGTGCCGTCGACGCCGACCGAGAGCGTCCGCTTCCATTTAAAGCTCCTGCTAACCTCGGGTCCCTCCTGAGCGTCGCCGCGAGAGAGAAGCGTCATGGCCACGTTGGCTAGGACGCCCATTGCTGCTGTTGAAACTTGTGGCGTAAACTTCAGGTATGGCGCCTCTGCCTGTCTTCACACGAAAGCACGTCCAGAGAGAAACAGGCGCATGTTATACTGATCAGGAATCAATGGTGTGCAATCCTGTGCGACATTGGGCCAGGTAGAAAGGTGGTGCTTGCGCGCCTCCCGTCAGTTGAGTCGGAGTTGACTTTGTGGTTGGCGGCAACCAGTGCTCGGCGCTCATGTTGGTTTGGCAACGTTGGTTTCGAAGCCCTCGAGCTCTCTTCTTCGGCGACGAAATGTTTCGGGATTCGGTGATTGTGGGGGGGTTGATGTAAGCGAGGCGCAGTGGAAGCCAGACATGGCATGCACAGCCATGGCGTGATGCGCCACGTCCAGTCTCACCCGTCCCCGCACTCTTGAAGTTGCGCCGGCTCCGCCTTGGCATCGTCACGACCAACAAGGCAAGCTTCAGCAGACATTGACAGGTTCGTCCTCCTTTGTGTCGGGGTGCTACGGGGCTGAGCGGCACAGGCATGGCTCGTCTCCGCCTCACGCAGGCACTCGTCGCTTCCGACGTCGCCGCCTACAGGAAAGCCACGCAGTCGGCCTTTCTGCGCGACGCCGCGCGTGGAGAGGTATCCAAGCATCTCCTTGGCCGGTGGCTCGCCAACGACCGACTGTACATTCACGGCTACATCAAGGGCGTCGGCCGCCTGCTCAGCTTCCTGTCACTGCCCGAGGCGGTGCCCGAGGCCAGGGCCGAGCGCAAGACGCCGGCTACGCGCCTCTTGTCGTGGATGATTGATGCGCTCGTCAACATCCGTCGCGAGGAGGCCTTTTTCGTCGACACGGCCGCGGCGTTTGGCATCCCGGTGAACCTCGAGACCGACGCCGACGGCCACGTCCCCGCGGGTGCCAAGCTTGAGGGTTTGCGCCGCTTCGAGGCCCTCTTTGACGGACTGGCGCCGGGCGACAGCGGGGTCCTGCCGTGGCTCGAGTGCGCCGTCGTCTACTACGGAACGGAGAGGTGCTACCTGGATGCCTGGTCGTACGCCCGGTCCCACCTGAAGAGCGACGCCGACGTCTCGGGCGACTTGGACGGCGGAGCGGTGCGCAGGGAGTTTATTCCCAACTGGACGTCGGCCGAGTTTGTCACGTTTGTAGACGAGCTGGGCGACATTATTGACGATGCGGTGGACCAGCAGGTGGCGCTCCACGGCGAGAGCATCCGATCGGACTTGATGGAGCGGTCCCTGGTCCAGTGGCGTGCCCTGCTGGCGGCCGAGGAAGCGTTCTGGCATGTGACGGAGGGACGAGATGCCGACTGTTGTTGAGGGCAGGTAATTAGGTTGTGCTGCTTTTTGATGGAGACGATTGCCGAGCCCCACGGGATGACGGGCGCGCGTGTGTGTTTGCGTCCCTTTGTGCTTTTCCGAGCCACAACAGCTGGCTTGAACAGTGGCGCTCGTCCGCGCGTGCTGCGTTTGCGCGTCCCATCCATTTACCATCCCACCGGCATGAGCCTCGTCCGATGCAAGAGATGACGACGCCCTCTGGTGCGGCTGTGCTGGGTGCCAAGAGAGGAGGGGCAAGGGAGAGAGGCCATGTGCCGGGATGGGGCTTTCTTCCGGGATTCCTACCATCTGTCCAAGCTTGTGTTGAGCATTTCTTGGCCTGTGGGCTCCGACATGGTTGGCCGAGTTGGTGCCTGGGTACGGAGTAGAGGCTTTGAAGAGGGCGCAAATGAAAGGTGCGCGCGTGAGCAAAGACAGAGCGTGACTTGATCTTGTCTGGATGCCGGGGGAGGGAGAAAAAGCATGCGGGCTTGGTCCTCTAGAACCCGGGCTCTGCTTGCAATCCAGCCACGCCCATTCCATTCGGACTCGGCAAGCGCCGACCCACTGCAAGACACACGGACGAAGCCCTAGAAAACGCCCCGGACATGTCTGTGGCGGCGCCGGAAGGAGAGGGAAGCTGCGAGGTACCGTCGGTCTGGTGACGAGGTGCCGGGCCGCGCAGGTACAGTGCATGTTCCCCACTGCCGGCCGGGCGCAGTCGCCGCTGCGCCACAGGTTGCAAGGCCGTGTCCGTGAGGTCTCCAGTTTATTAGAGAGGCTCCCATCGTGACGCCATGGCATGGTGCCAGAAAGGGCCTAACAATCGACAAGAGAGCAGCAATGACAAATTGTCACTCGCTTTTCTCGAGTTATATAACCAGCACACGTCCCACCCTCTTCGACCCTCCTCCATTCCACCTCAACCTGTCGTCTTGAAGCACCTGGCGGGGTAGCACAACATCACCGTCCAACTTCACACAAGTTACAACACACTATCGCCCTCGACACACACACAGACCCGTCGTTTCTTCTTCGCACGGAGACGTCATAGCGGCCCAGAGCGACGGTCAAATCAACATAGAGGACCCCGCCTTTTCTACCTAATACCCCCACCTTCTTCAGTAGTAGAGAGCCGACCTCCCACCTCTGCCTCGCGCTTCTACTCCCCATCCTCATCACCTCCTCCTGAATACCTATACGCTCAAGCCATCAGCAAAATCTCCAGTATGTCGAATCAAGGATACTACGGCGGCGGAGGCGGCGGCGGAGGAGGCGGCGGAGGACACTATCCCCAGCAGCCGAGCTACTCGCAGAACCAACCTCAGGGCTACAACCAGTCCCAAGGCTATCAGCACTCCGGCAGCTATCCCGAGCAGGTTCGTCTCTCCTCCCTTGTCCTCTTCCCCACGACTCTGAAGAATCATCAGTACTGACACCATATTCTGCAGCAACAATACGGAGGCCACCAGTCCCACTCCCCCTCCTATCACCAACCTCCGCCAGGCCACGGACCAAGCTCTTCCCCCCATCCCCAACAGCCCAGCTACGCCGCTCCGTCGCACGGCCAGCACCCCCAACAGCCGGGCTACAGCTACGACAACCGCAGCCACTCGCCCCAGCCGCCCACTCATCAGCAGCAGCAGTACGCCGGCGCGCACCAGGCCGGCGGCTACGGTCAGTCGCAGCCGCAGTATCACCAGGCCGGCGGCGCCCCCGGCCAGCAGCAGCAGTACGGACCCGGCCAGCCCGGCGCCGGCCCGGATGGTGAACGCGGCCTCGGCGCCACTCTCGTCGGCGGCGGCGCGGCGGGGTGGGCCGCCCACAAGGCCGGCGGCGGGTTCCTGGGCAGCCTCGGCGCCGCTGCGGCGGGTGCCGTCGGCGCAAACGTCCTCGAGCACGCCTTCAAGAAGAAGAAGAAGCACAAGAAGTCCAAGAAGTCCAAGAAGTACGGCCAGCGCGGCTTGGGCAGCGGCAGCAGCAGTGGCTGCGGCAGTGACTGCAGTTGCAGCGGCTCCGACTAGATATGAAGATTGAAGACAGCCAGGCGTTCATGCGCGCAAGGGGGTTAGGTGATTGGGTGTCCAGCAACTGGGAAGAAGCCTTGTAATTGTTTCAGTTATCCGTCGTCGTCGTTGGCAGTGCGCCATGTAGTTTGCTAATGAGACGCACAAGGCGGGCTTTGAAGCCCGTGACGGTATCCTTGCTCGTCAAGCTTATAGGAGTATACCTAACGCAATGGAATCAGCTTGTTCAGCAATTTTCTTGAGTACCTTTGCCCATGTGTGTAGCTTCTGTTGTTCATTAACTTCAACATCCATATGTGACTCGGCCCCTCTTCCAATAAAGTACTTGGCTCGATTGGCTGAGTTTCTCACGAAGAAATACAGCAGAAAGGCATATAATGTAGAAATGGGGTGGTTGTGGTATATTCCGTATCTCTTTGTTCCTGTGTGTGCTCTTCCTACCCTAAACCCAAGCCCCTATATATATCCCTCTTTGATAGTATGGGGGTTAAGGGTCCCCAGCCTCCTCAACCGGGAACCTTCCGGTCTGATGGGAGCTTTCCAGCCTCCCTATTATGTAGTCATCTGTCGCGGTCCTGCAAAGCTGCATAAGCTCTCCTGCAAGCTCCTCATTCCAGCTCCTCGTTAGACCCGGTTGTTAGGTCCACTGTCAGCCTGGCTACCTATGGGTGACCTAGATGAGGTCGCAGCTATTTTATAATATAACGGCGCCGAAGCAGCCCTCCCGCGACTAGAGGTACGATTCGAAAAGGCATGCCTTTCCTATGCCCTTTAGACCCTATACTTCCTACTAAATCACCTTATAAGGTAAGCTTACGACCTAGCTATACGGGATAACCTCGCTAACTCGGGCTCTAACCTAGGAGCCTTAAGCTATATTAAGCCCTATATATAGCTCTTCCGCCTTCTTAAAGGCATAGTAGCTATTATAGGACCTAATTATAGCTTAGAAAGAAGGAAAGCTAGCTAAGAGCCCTTATAGGCCTTAAAGCTTAAGGCCTTTATTATAATAATAGACCTTTAAGCCCTTAGCTAAGAAGTAGTACTAACGCTTCTTAGCTAGCCTAGCTAATATAAAAGACTTTAGGCTATAGCCCTTAGCCTTTTATACTAAGAGCTTTAAGGGGTGCCTTAAGGGGTCCCTTATAGAGACTAATACTTACTCCTTTTACGAAATAGGCCTAGGAAATAGGCTTATTAAGGTATACTATAAGAACCTATAGCCCTTTATTAAAGTAGCTAATATAGAGCTATTTATAATACTAAGGGTCTTAAAAAACTTAGTTAAGAGGCCTTAGCCCTTAAGGCCTAGGCCCCCTAACCCTCTTATAAAGGCCTATATCTTTATAAATAGCTAAGCTATTATAAAGAAAGTAATAAGCTTCTTAAACCTAGCTATATATTAAAAGGCTCTTAACTAGCATAAAAGCCTTTTATAATATATAGCTATATTAGTGCCTTAGCTACTTAAGGATCTTTAGTAATAAGCTAGTAAACTAGCTAGCTAAGAAGAGCTTAAGGGCCCTTACTTAAGGGACCCCCTTAGTTTTTATTAGCTACTTATAAAGAAAGGTCTAATAAGCTATTAAGGACTACTAAAAAGGCCTTTAAGCTACTAAGGTAGCTAAAGGCGTTAGGGCTAAGGGCCTAGGTAACTACTATATATCTATTTAAAAGACCCCCCGCTTAGCTTTTAGCCTAGAAAAGGACCCTATAAGAAGGCCTAGGCCGACCCTTTTAGCGTTTTACTAGCTCCTTTTTAAGGCTAGCTTCTTATTTTACTTCTTAAAGAGGATTAATAAGGTAGACTAAGATACCTACTACTATAGCTAAGGAAGGTATATAGCTAAGCACCTTATCTTAAGGTGCCTAAACTATAAGAGGGAAAGAGAGGTCTTTTACTAAGCCTTTAAGGGAAAGAAAGAAGCTCTTAGCCTACTTTTTCTTTATAGCTCTAAGGAAGGAAGGGAAGCCCTTTTAACCTTTATAGCTAAAATAGAAATAGGAATAGCTTAGTAGCTTAAAAAGGAGTAACCTAGGGGCCCTAGGGCCCTTAAAAGAGAAAAATACTATATAGGAAGAACTAAACTAACCTTTTTTTTATTTTTACCTTTATAGCTACCTTTTACTTAATTAATTATAAGCTCCTAAGCTCTATACCTAGCTAGGACTATTAATAAGGGCCTAGGCCCTTATTACCCTCGCTATAGCCTTAGAGGCTATATATAAGTAATAATATAAAAAAGTTTATAATAGCGAAATTATTAGGCTAAAGGATAATTTAACTTTAGAGATTTTAAATATAGTATATTAAAACGCTTCTATAGATAGTTAAAGTATTTAAGGAGTAAATAGCCTATAAGTATAATATAAAATATTAATAGAGTTACGCTATAAAAGGAAGTACTATTTATCGAGCACTTTATATTCTTAATATCTTAGGTATTTATCTAACTCGCTAGCGGCCCGGTTCTAGGACTACTAATATCCGGTTAAGTCTATACGTTTATTATATAGTATAGAATATATAGCTTCTTTATACCTAGAATATATTAACTATTAGATTAGTTTTCTCGTTTAATACTTAAAGGAGCTAAACTCTCTCCCCTATACCGCCTATATTTAGTAAGGGCGGCGCTAAGATATCGATACTAACGATTAAATCGCTAGCCCTATTCTTTACTTTTTATTTCGTTATACTTATACTCCTTATAGTAAGTAAAGTATAAGCTTAAAAGATTATTATAAGTAGGAGCTTAAGCTATTAGTAACTTAATTTAATAGTTACTAACCGGGCTAAGCTCTAGCTATACTATTAATTTATAGCTATATATATATAATTAGATATAGCTAAAATTATCTTTTAGCTAAATAAGCGAGATAGAAATTACCTATTAAGTAACTCTAGCCCTTTACTAGTAACCTATTAAAGCTCTTTATATCTTTTAATTCCTAGTTTAGTATAACTTAGTAAATATTATAGAGTAAGTAAAGGTATATATATAGGTGCCGTTTATAGGATAATATTAATAAGCTATACTAAGCTTTTCTATATATAGCTAGCCTATATATATATATATAGGATCCGGCCCTTTATATATAACTATATAGCTTAAGCTATAGCCTAAGCCTATAACCTATAATAGTTAAAGACTCTTATATAATACCCTCCCTTTAATATAGCGCGGCGCTGCCTTATTAATAGCTTTTATAGAATTAAGCCTTAAGCTCCCTATACCGCTAGTTCTACCTTACCCTTTTTCGTTAATAGTGCTAGCCCTACTAGCCCTATTATCCCTACGCCTATTAACCTAGGTAGCTAGTACCTAGCTCTATACTTATTAGCCGGCTAGCTATATAAATAGGGGCGCGGCTTATTATATACGCCCCTAAGCAGCCGGCGGCCGGCCTAGACCTATATAAGCCTTAGGTTACCCGTCCCCTTAGCCTTAGGTAGCCTTCCTTAACTAAGGGGTATATAAAGGGGCATCCCCCTTTCTTCCTCCTCTTCCTTTTCTTCCTTCTTTAACTATAGTAGTAGTAGTAATAAGTAAGTTTTACTTTACCTAAAGCGCTAGTTCGTTCCTAGCTATATAGGTTACCCTATTAATAAGTACTTATAAGAATAGCTATAGTAATAATAGTAGTAATAGTAATAATAATAACTCTAACTAGTAAGTCCCTTATCTTTTAAAGTAAAAGGCCGCGGTTTACTATACTAACTTCCGCGGTAAATATATCTACCTTTCCCTCTCTTTCTTTATCTTTCTTAAAGCGTATAAAGTTATTTATCGACGCTAATTTTTTTATATTATTACTTATATATAGCCTCTAAGGCTATAGTAAGGCTAATAAGGGCCTAGGCCCTTATTAGTAGTCCTAGCTAGCTATAGAGCCTAGGGGCTTATAACTAATTAAGGAAAGGGTAGCTATAAAGGTAAAGATAAAGGAAAGGTTAGTTTAGTTCCTTTTACGCGGTGATTTTCCCCCTTAAGGGCCCTAGGGCCCCTAGGTTACTCCTTTTTAAGCTACTTAGCTATCCCTATCTCTATTTTAGCTAAGAAGGTTAGAAGGGCTTCCCTTCCTTCTTTAGAGCTATAGAGAATAAGTAGGCTAAGGGCCCCCTCTTATCTCTTAGAGGTCTAGTAAAGGACCTCTCTTTCCCTCTTATAGTTTAAGTATATTAAGATAAGGTGCCTAGCTATATACCTTCCTTAGCTATAGTAGTAGTTATCTCGGTCTACCTTATTAGTCTTTTTTAAGAAGGAAAATAGGAAGCCGGCCCTAAAAAGGAGCTAGTAGAAGGCTAAGAGGGTTAGCTAAAGCCTCCCTATAAAGTCCTTTTCCGGGCTAAGAGCTAGGCGGGGGGTCTTTTAAATAAATATATAGTATTTACCTAGGCCCTTAGCCCTAAGGCCTTTAGCCGCCTTAGTAGCTTAGAGTCCCTTTTAATAGTCCTTAGTAGCTTATTAGACCTTTCTTTATAAGTAGCTAATAAAGACTAAGGGGGTCCCTTAAGTAAGGGCCCTTAAGCTTCTTTTAGCTAGCTAGTTAGTAAGCTTATTACTAAAGATCCCTAGGTAGCTAAGGCACTAGTATAGCTATATATTATAGAAGGCTTCTAAGCTAAATAAGAGCCTTTTAATATATATAGCTAGGTCTAAGAAACCTATAACCTTCTTTATAGCGGCTTAGCTATCTATAAAGATATAGGTATCTATAAAGGGGTTAAGAGGGCTAAGCTTTAAGGGCCGAGGCCTCCTAGCTAGGTCTTTTAAGACCCTTAGTATTATAAATAGCTTTATATTAGCTACTTTAATAAAGGGCCTTAGGTTCTTATAGTATACCTTAATAAGCTTATTTAGGCTTATTTTATAAAAGGAGTAGGTATTAGTCTTTATAAGGGACCCCTTAAAGCACCCCTTAAAGCTCTTAGTATAAAAGGCTAAGGGCTATAGCCTAAAGTCTTCTATATTAGCTAGGCTAGCTAAGAAGCG